AGCTGGGTCTCATTTTTGAGGGACACGGATGCGCATGGCGTCGAGGTGGTGATTGCCCGCTTCAATATCATGGTAAAATGGGCTATTTCCGAAATTGTCCTGACTCGTGACATCGAGGAAAGGGCTCGTTGCATCATCAAGCTCATCCACATTGCAGCGCATTGTCGACGCTTCCGCAACTTTGCCACCATGGCACAGCTGACCATTGCGCTTATGAGCAATGAGATTGGCCGTCTTAACAAGACATGGGCGATGGTGCCCTCCAGTGACCAGCGAACGGTGCAGGATTTGGAGACGTTGATGTCGCCTACTAGGAATTTCTACAACCTGCGCAAAGAGATGGAGGGCAGTGACTCAAAGACCGCTGACGAGGGATGTATCCCCTTTGTGGGCATTTACACGCACGATCTCCTCTTCAACGCCCAGCGACCGAGCGAGATTGCGAGCTCGCCCACTACTGCTCCTTTGGTGAACTTCGAGCGTTGTAGGATCGCGGCCGGGGTGGTCAAGACGCTGCTGAGACTTCTTGAAGCGAGCTCACGTTACTCGTTCCAGCCTATTGAGGGTATCACTGAGCGTTGCTTATGGATGGGTGCTCTGCATGATGACGAGATTCGAAGGTTGGGTGGGAGCTTGGAGTGATCATGGACTTTTTGTCCACGGCTGATAATACCGAACCCCAACACCAGTCACCATACTGCTCGTCATTTATCTCAACCACAGCGAACAGACGCTTCTTTCCCTTACTTTGTTTTCTGTTTCTTCTTTATCTTGCGTTTGTTTTGGACCTTCAAACTCCAGCAAGCCTATGCATCATCGCATTTATACCCCTGTACAAACACCTAAACTGTTTTATCATGTCGAAACCATCATACCCTACCTACCTACCTACCTACCTTCCATTACCTATTACAACCAACATATCATACTAAACGATACCATACCAAGCCATAATCATAACTGTCTCATTTACTGTTCGGTTCCCTCATCGCCGACATCATCATCACCAAAACCGATGCTACCTCTACTATTTTCTAGTCGCATATTTCCATTCAAACTTATTGTATATATACCCTTTTCTTCTTTTCCTTCGTTGTCGTCTTGGATGGAAGGGTGATCATCCACTCAGGACTTATCATCTTCCGGGTTGCTCGGCATATCATCATCTTGAGCGTATTGCACTTGGGCAGAAAGGAAGGAAGGAAGGAAGGGTCAAATGAATTGAAAGGGATAAGGATCAAATGGATCGAAACGGAACCGTACGGACATGAACTGAAATGGGTGGTTTGGGCGGTGGGCGGTGGGCGGTGGGCGGTGGGCGGTCTTAACTTAGCCTGATCAATTTTCTGTTCCTCTTTTCTCTTTTTGTTACACACGCTTTTTGGTATTCTGGCGAGTCGAGTCATAGCGAGATGGAAGAGGGAGGGGGGGGAGGAGACATCATAGGTTTTATACCCCGTATCCTTTTTTTCTCTTTGGAGGGAGGAGAGGAAAAAAGAAGAAGAGAGGATACAATTGGGAGGAGAGTAAGGATATCGGGATGGTTTGGTGGGGAAAGGAAGGGAAGGGAAGGGAAGGGAAGCAGATATACCAAGTAGAGATAGTGAGCGGATGAATTGCCCCTGGGGAAGATGAATGAATGCGAAGTGATACCTTACGCTTATTTTCAAGGTCCAGTCGTGGTTGAGTTTGTGTGAATTGGTTGTGTTTATGTCTCCTCGGCCTTAGATGTCAGTGAATCTGGTCAACCAAGCTCTCGCAATCACTCTTTCGTCAGAGCCCGAATCGCCTGTGACGGACCTTTCTCGCCCACGAAGCAAAATCAAGAGGCGCTTCGAGCGCAGACGAGTTACCCAGTCAAGGAAGGGAATCTGAACATGTCAAAACAATGGGATTCCTGACAGCAAAGATGCACCTGGGCTGTCGGGACCGAGCGGCCGGGGTTTAGGTTGTGTTCGGAGCAGCTGTACCACGGCCTTGCATTACTGTACATGACCCGCAGCTACATTCCCTGTACGGTAATGCAACGGTAACACAAGCCAAAACTCTCTATAACAGCAGTGTATTCGTTAGTACTGGGCTGTAAGAAGTCGTGCGAAATACGGAGTGCTGTAATTATAGGGGGTTTGGGGGGTGTGGTGCGCTAAAGAGCTCGGTTCTTGCAGTCTTATACATAGGGTCTGGGACTATTAAAAATGTTAAAAATCCGGCCATTTCAGTAAGGAATCTGGGCCTCTGATTGGTCAGATGCATGCCTTGCATGGATTTGGGGTAATGCAGCGACTTGCATATTTTTACTGAAATCCAGCCGAACACAAAAAGTGCAGCTGTAAGACTGCACCTTACAGCCACCAAAACTGGGTTTCCCTACCGTACTACAGCCTGAACGAACACAACTTTACAGAAGCCGCCAGGCAGGCAGGTACGACTGTACAAGGACCCTACCTGATGGATGTGGATGTGTCTCATTTATTCCACTTGATTGACGATACTAATCGTAATATCTAACCTACTCTAGGGAGAGTCGAGTCCGTCGTCTATATGTGACAAAGTCAAACGACGAGAGTCCGTCTCTTCTAGGTACCTCAGGCCTGCGTCCTTCCGTCGTCCGTCAGACGAGAACCTACCACGCAGCTGCCAGGACGTCGAAGCCTCGGAGCGGAGCGGATAGAGGTCAGTAGCTACTGTGCTAGAGGTACCTCTATGAGGTAGAGGTGTGGAGCAGGTGCGACACTGTACCCCGGCCCTGAGGTGTACCAGGGCTCGGGGTGGGATCTCCTGCGTCATGATCTGGTAGAAGTCGGGTGTATGGGGGGAAGGCAAGTACCAGGGACATCGATGTTATATGGAAGGGAAGGCGCCTGATGCCCGCCTCTGGTCCGGAAGGAAGGAAGGAAGGAAGGCATCCCGTTATCACCTCGAGGCTCGAGGGAGGGAAGCCACGGCAATCAATCAGTGAGTCAACCCGTCTAGACCTAAGGAAGAGTAAATATTGCAGTTAGCCTGGGGTGAACCAGAAGGCGCGGACTGGAAGCCAGGACAGGGGGAGGCCGGGAGGGAGACGAATGGCCAGGTAGCGCGGTATATGATCTGGGCTCCCCTCGGCCTCCACGCCTTGGTTCAGTTGTCGATTGGTTTCTTGTTCAGCATCAAATCACATTTCACAATCTTTGACATGCTTCGCTGAACCCTTCCCCTTTACAGCACCCCTCTCTTTTTCTTCTTGTGGTTTCTTGACGGGTGCTATGTCGCTGTCCTCTGCTTTCCTTGCCATCATGTCACTGTCCTCTTCTTTCTTTGCCGCCATGTCGTGCGCTATCTTTTGCTTTCCTTGCCGCCATGCCGCTACCATCTCCTCTCCTTGCCTGATGCCATGTCACTGTCCTCTTCTTTGCTCGCTGCCGGATGCCATGTCGCTGTCATCTTCATTCCTTGCCGCCACGTCCTGCCGCCTGCACTGTCCTCTCCATGCACCTCATGATAGGTGACCCAAGCGCAGGGCATTCCATTTCCAGGTGAGTTATTTCCATTCATTCATTCATTCATTCATTCATTCTTTTCCTTGCGACATCAGTTTTTTGACAATGCTTTTATAAGTGTGTGTTTCGGTCATATTAATTACATACGACCATACCCACTGGAAAACTCGGGATCCCGTCCGCTCTCCCATAGATAAGCCAGTGAGGGCCAGACTAGTAGTTGGGTCGGTGACGACCAGCGAATCCCTGGTGTTGTATGTTCCTTTTTCTTTTTTTTCTTTTTTTATTCCTTTTTTTCCTTCCTTTTTGTTTTCATGTTTTCTTGTTTTGTGTGTGTGTGTGTGTGTGTGTCGGTCTCCCTACTTGTTTGTTTAATTGCGACCAGGATTGAACATCATCCTGGGGTTTGTAGCTTCAAAAAAAAATATTTTAATGTAGTTGACGCGAGCTAGTTGTTGTTGATGATTTTGCTTTGCCACCACCCATTGTGACATGGAGGGAGGAATCAAGAAATTGCGAATAAAAGCATAACAACCTCACGAAACCATCACGTCGCAACAGCAGCAGCAGCAGCGACAAAGGATTGAACAGTGAAGTGACTTGGTACAGCGTCGCTTTCACTCGTCATGACTTCTCATGAGTGTCATGGATGTTGAGAACCGGGTATTGATACAGAACTATCCATAGAAACAATCTGGGTAGTGAGTGGGCTTTGAGGAAACAGGTCAACATGGCCAAGCTGGCTTCACAGAACATTCCACTTGACAGAAACTAGACAACCGAGCAACGGAGATAATCTCTGAAATACGGTTGGAGACCCGGGTAGAAGTAGTTCAGCAAATCGAAGCTTCCCTCATCGAGCATTGGTAGAAACTGGACAACAGAAACATCATCGAGGGACCACGATGAGAAGTTGGATACACGTTGACTTGGGCATCAACCATTGCACTTCACGCCACAAACAACATATCATGAGGATCAAGGGGAAGTGGCTGTAACTTCATTTAGGATACTATAACGTGCGATGCTATGTCTAGAAAAAGGCGGCAAATATGCACCAAGACATGATATGGTCTCAAGCTTTGCATCATATACGGCCCATTGATTGCACGAGTTGGTGAGGTAAGGAGGGTTTGATGGCTTTGATTATTCCGGCGCAGCAAAGGCGTCCTTAAAGTCAACCTGATGGCCATGTCCTCCGAATTCATCGGTTTCATGTGTCTGTAGGGCAGCAGCTTGCCTCTTGTCTGTCCGACACCAGTCCCGCTGCGCTTCCATCTCGAGGGCAAACAAACCCTTCCCATACAGACCATGCTGTTGTTGATTTGTGTGCATAATAAAATACCAATCAACGTAGGTGATGCCTCTCGGTCGCATCTATCCAGTGATTATCATCCTCCATGCTGTTATGGCTGGAGGGTAAAAGACGTTGCGCGGTTTAGCGGCACGGCGGTAGCCGTGCTGCGGCCAGCCTCAACGAGAGTGCTGCCCACTCCCGCCATCCCTTTGATTAGAATCTGGAAAATCACTCTCGCTATATCGCCTGCCCTGGGTCGTCCCAATTCATAGCATCATGCCACAACTCCCAATGAAACTCCGGGCTACAAGCCTTTGCCTCCGTTCAATAAAAATCATGCTCAGTCCCAAACCTAGAGGCTTCGAAAAAGGAAATGTTCGTTCACAGCGCCACAGAGCCCGTCAAATATTGGGCAAGTCACGAAAAGCGAAATTACTGTGCAGCGGCCGGCGCATCACGGCGAGGGAAGCCGTTGCTCGCACCTCTTCCACCACGGAAGCCACGGCCGCGACCACCGCGACCACGACCTCTGCCACCGCGATAGCCACGGTAGCCACCATCAACACTGCCTTGACCGAAGGTCTCGATGTTGCGGCGTTGTTCCTCGCCGCGCCACTCACGGCCGCCAGGCTTCTGGCCATTGTTCTCAGCTCTGTCCTTGGCCTCACTTGAGATGTTGTCAAAGAATGACTTGCTCTTGTTGTAGGCTTGCTGAGCAACACCAGAGACATCGGCAACAGCTTCCGGAGCAGCCGATTCAATTGCCGGCTCCTCACCAAGGGGAGAACCAGCGATGGCCTCCTTAACAATTTCTTGCTTGTTGAACTTGGCATTAGAGGACTCGAAGTCAAAGTCAGAGTCAGGGACTTCAACCTTGGCCGGACGAGGACCACGAGCCCGACCACCGCGGTTCGCAGTGGCGGCGTTATGGGTCAAGGGGGCGCGAGGGGCGGAAGCAGTCGCAGCGGCGTTGACGTTCATCTCGTTAACCCGCTTGGTGAGATTGTCAACAGCAGCGGCGGTTACTTGCTGCTGAGTAGCGACTTGGCCATCCAGCTTGACCATATTAGCCATGGCAACAGCGACGGCCGCTCTAGCCTGCTGAGTTGCGTCACGCAACTGGGCCGCGCTCATCGGTCCGCTTCCAATCTCACCGGTAGGCTTGGCAGATCCAGCCGTCGGCTGAATGGGTCTCGCAGTAAGGGCAGCGGGAAGGGGGACAGCAGGAAGAATCTGCGTGGGACGAGTGGTGTTGCCCTTGGGACCAGTAGGGATGGTCTTCTGTTGGGAGGAAGGACCAGCAGGAGCAGCATTGTTCAGAGACGCAGCAGTGGCCTTAACCTCTTCGACAGTAGGCTTTGAATCATTTGGCAAAGAGGGGGCGCCGGCAGCAGGCTGCTGACCAAACGACTTGAGTACATCGGCAGACAGCTCATGCTGCTGGGGTTGCTGTTGAGGCTGAGATGGAGTAGACGGCTTCTTGTCGCCCGCGGGACCGATGGGCGCAGGCTTCGGGCCAGGAGCTTGGTTGCTCGGGGTCTGGTTCGCAGACTGGCGACCCCCCTGGCCCGGAACGCCACCCGGAGCGACACCAGGACCAGGCGGGTAGGGGTAGTTGTTCCACGGACCGGGACCGTGGCCCATGGGGAACTCCTGGCCGGGAGGGAACCATCCGGGAGGAGGGGGATACGGCATGCCGCCGAACGCATTGGGAGGAGCACCAGCGCGGCCCCAACCACCCATGTGAGGAGGATAGTAACCGAAGCCAGGGGCGCCAGGAGGCGGCGGCGGGCCTTGGTGGCCGGGAGCACCGATGGGACCGGGGGGTACAGGACCGGGTGGGCCCGGAGGTCCAGGAGGGCCAGGTGCGACATTGGCCTGACGCGGACGAGCCTAAGCATTCCATGTTAGCAACTGTGGAAGCCGGTGTGGTGAGGGTGAAAGAAGGGTATGGTTGAACCACAGATCAGAAGGAAGGCAACGGAAATCTCAACATTGTTTTTGCGCTTTTCAGACAAAAGTAAAATTTTACATCCGGAAATATTTCATCATGATGTGGGCTTGGTAGGTGGAGTGAATGGCGGGAATGGAGACTTACGCCGAGGATAGCGGGATCATCGGGCACCGGAGGTTTGTTCTCCTTGGGAGCCGAAGGCCCCTCTTCTATGCGGAGATCCTTCACATCGCTGCCGCGGAAAACGATATACTCGTAGACCTGGTCGGAGGCGGGCACTTCCTCATCGGGATTGTGCTTGCGACCCTCTGTTCCGAATGACCGGACATTCTCTAGGGAGACGGTAGACTCCTCCGAGTTGATGTTGTGCAAGGTACCGACATAGCTGAAATGACGGTCAGCGGGGCTGCCAAGCCTAGCAGGATGCAGAGGCTAGAGCCTACCGGATGTCGCTCCTCGATATCAAGGATATCCGAGAGCTGAATGACGGGCGAACTGTTAGCAAACGACACATTGTCGGGGGTGAGAGGAGAGTGAGGATGGTGACTAGCACCAACAGGTGATGGCGGGGGGGAGTGGCCAACATACCCAAGAAATTCAGACATTGGCAAAGCGCGCTGGCTGCAACAGCGTCAAATGCAGTATGCGCGTGTGATGTGCGGTGAAAAGAAGAAAACCGAAGCAGATTGAATCGAGTCGAAAATGAAGAAAAAAAAAGAATTAAAGACCGCAGATCTTAGACGTGGAAAGGGAGTAAAAGACGACGACAGGAAAGTGTGCGCAGAGTTGTCATGGCGGGGGTTTCATAGTTCGCATGGAGGAAGGAGGAAGAAGAAAGAAAGGGAAGGATTGGCGGGAGGGAACGAGGTAAAAAGGCAGCCAACCAGCGAAAACTCAACGAGTTCAGCCTCCTTGTTTCGTGTGTTGTGACCCCACATTGCGCCCGTCGTCACCACTCTGGGCAGCTTCGGCGTCTGTTCTCCGGCATCCGTGCACCGCCACGGTGGAGGGCGGGAGGCTGAAATCGGCCTAGCGGGGGCCGACCCGAACCTTGCCGTGTCATGATGTTCTCAGTTCGGGTTGGTGACGAGCTGAGTGAATGCCTCCCGAGTCCGGTCTGATATACTAGCTCTCGTCAGTGTCAATGCCAGTCCTGTCGGCTGCCATTTGTTGCCATTCGTCTATTTTACGGCCATGGAATAATGACTCTCGACAGTGGTAGCACGCCGTCGAAATGAGTATTGTTTATCTGCGCTAGATGTCGTGTTTTGTGATCCTGAGACCACCTCGTTGTCGAGCTCTGTATGATATATATATGATTCTACAACCCGGCTGCAAAATAACATTTGAACCATGCGGTATGCATACTGCAAGAGTGGTCATGGTTGTCGGAAGCTTGAAGCACCCGTAACCTGCACGCTACCTTCTATAACCTACAACCTGCCATCTGCTACCTGTGACCTGGCCTTATTGCTTGTTTGAGCAAACCTGTCCATCGCTTCGAAGCTTCCAAGTCGCAATGCCGTGGAGTGAAACCACTTGTTAATTCTTGTATCATGTCGTCAACAAGTAGGAAAGCCCAACACTTTCGAGGAGTAGCAAGCAGGCCAGGTCATAAGCAGCTGCCCACCTGAGATTATCGACCGATGCATCTCTGTACATATGTACCTCTATGCAATGCTGGAAGCTCATGCAAAGAGAGCGTCGTTGCTGTACTTCGTCGACATCACGGGCTTGGCAGGCCCACTTTTATTCCAGTGCTTGGGAAGATGACTCCATCGGCCACTCCAACTTCCGTTCTTTGATAAACTTTCTGCAAAGGCAAGCAGCAACTTGATTACACCAGCGAATTCAGTGAAGAATAGCCGTTTGACAGAACCCAGGTGTTGCTCACCTTCCACCAGAGCACCATTGTTCAACGCGCGCCAACCAAGTCACTCACCCCGGCAGTCGCATTATTAAGACCTTTCTCGGCTGGTGGGGTTATTAAGCCTTCGATTTGCCCCGCGGCCACAGTCCAGCACCTTGATCATCTCATTCTGAAAAGCATTCTCATATTGCAGCATGGCGACACGGCAAATGCGGAAGCTGCAGAAGCAGCAGGAGCTTCTTAGACTGCAGAACGAAGCAGATCGGGAAGATGACGAATCCGAGGACGAGCCCATTGTTACCAAGCCCAGGCCCAATGCTTTTGCAGGCTTTGCCGCTCTTGGAGGGGGAGACGATGACGATGACGATCAAGACACCGAGGAGGAAACCAAAGAAGTCGAGGACGTCCCAGAACCGGTAGCCCCCGCCAAGAAGAGCAAAAAGTCAAAAAAGAAGAAGAAGAAGGGCAAATCACCTGCCGCGGAAAAGGAGGAAGAAGATGATCTGGATGAGATAGATCGCGTTCTTGAGGAGCTCAATCTCAAAGACAACAAGAATTCTGTCTCGGACACCGCCACTTCCAATGCTGCCAAGTCGACCGGTCAAATCAACGAGCTCTTGCGCGTCAACTTTCAGCATCTCAAGGCTATTAACGAGATGCGGAAGCTGTTTGGCAGTGCCATTGAAGCAGCACGAGCGGAACAGGCTGCTGAGGCTAACAGCCGTCAACAGCAAAGAGGAGCTGCTCGGCAGAATGTTGACCTCGAGACCTTCCTCTCGGTCCCGCCAGCAGTTCAGCAGCGGCTAGGCAAGAGGAGCATGTTTGAGACTGTGTTGCGCACGAATCCCTTTATTGAGGGGAAGAAGACGTGGCCTAGAGACTCTACTCGCGGTCTTAAGATGGTGCGTGTCACCGAGTCCTGCGAAGGTGAGCCTGGTGTCGCCCAGTTCGCTTTTGCGCATGACAAGACATACGACGCCCTCGAGGGCAACTTCTACGGCCTCGTTCAGATGTACGATCCCATGCAACTCGTCTACTTCCTATCCAGGTACCCTTACCACGTCTCGTCGCTCATCCAAGTGAGCAAGGTTGCCCACCAAGACCAGAACTCGTACCTAGCCCACGACCTCATCGAGAGAGCCCTATTTACTTTTGGCAGGGTCAGTCTGAGCGACTTTCGCAAGCGGTTGGGAGATGGCACCGCAAGACTGGACTTCAACCGACCCGAAAACAGGCAGTTCTTCTTGGCTGGCTATAACCAGATCAAGAACTTGGTCCTCAAGGGAACCTACCGCACGGCTCTGGAATGGGCCAAGTTCGTCCTCAGTGTCAACCATGACGACCCCTATGGCGTGCTGAACTGGATCCACGTTCTAGCTATCCGCGCATACGAGGCCAAGTGGTTCATTGAATTGTGCAACTCACCCCTGATTGCCAACACGGACATTGGTCGCTACGTCAAGGCTACCCTCCCCTTGGCCAAGCTTCAACTGAAGGATAACGCCGGAGCGCGCGCTGCTGCCATCGAAAGCATTGAGAGACTCCCCTGGCTTTTCTGCGCCCTCTTCAGTGCTCTCAACATCGATACCCCACGCTCCGTTTGGGGTGTCCAGCCCCGGGACGAGGAGGAAGCGCTACACACCAAGCTCTACGTCCACCTAGCCAAGGACATCTGGAACAATCCCGCCGCGACCTCCCTCCTGACCGAGGCCGCCAACGCTGCTCGTAAGGTGGACTTCTTTGGCCTGCCTCCCAGCCCGGTCGTCTCGCTCGCTACAGCCCGCTTCGTCTACCTGGACAACACACCTGAGCTCATGTCGGCCGTTCCGCGCAAGATCCTGCACACGGCGTCTCCCAACTTTGACTTTGACCCTCTCCCGCCCCCGAAGGAGGACAACATCTTTTCCAGCCCGACGCAGAAGATGCCATGGAGCATTTCCGAGGGCGATGGCGAGCATAGACAGACGAGGTTGCATGAACAGGCGCAAGCTGCGCTGCAGATGGCTAGAGCCCGCATGAACGAAGACCAGCTCCGCGCCGTGGTGGATGATGCTCGTGCTAGAATCGACGATCCTGAAGCCGACGAGGAGCAGCGCGGGGTGTGGCGGAGGATAGTGGATGTTTTGACGGGTCAAGGATGGACAGGCGGAGCAGGAGGCGTCGCGGAAGGAGGTGAAGGTGATCAGAGAGGTAATGTCATGCCTGGGGGTTGGGAAGATGATTTCGATGAGGGATGGGGTGATGATGACTTTGATGGCGAGGATCACTGGTATGAGGACCAGCTTGATCCTGAGCTCGAGTTGGAGTTTGGACCGGGTGGCACACCCAACAGGAGGGCGACGGTTGAGGATGCGGAGGATAGCGATGATGAGGAGACTGCTCGGAGGTAGATGTTCCCCCGGATGCTATTATCATTGGGAGAATGTGAAAATGGGGTTTCGGGAGACTACCATCTTGGACAGTGTAGCAAGGAATAGCTAGAGCGGAGTGGGTGTCTCTATGAGGCAAATGCTGATAGAACTATCAGCTTTTCACATTCAGTGCAGGACCACCTCAAAACATGTCGTGAACCACTATGTACCTGTCTCGCATGGCATTAGACCGAAACCCCTGAACCCCTGAACCTCCAATATTCTACGGCGCATGAACGGTCAACGGACAACCAAAGGAGCAGCACAGGTTGTGTCTTTTCGTTCGGTTTGAGCCGATCGAGAATATCCAGGATAAGAAGACATGAGACAGTCTCGGTGAGCAAGTTTCAAGCTTCCAAGGTGCGGCAGCCAGTCCGTCGCTTACACCGAGAGTTGCTAAACGCGCGTGGCGGAGACATCGAATTGAGCGCTACAGTCTGCGCCGCACTGTACAAGCTTCCTTTAACGTGGAACTTGCAGCAAGAACAGGACAGTGCGAAAGCTGATTGACGCCACCGCGCAACGTCTCACCAAGCAACATGAATCCCTCCTCATTTTCCTCTTATATCTAAAAGTCTTGGCGTCAAATATTAGTGCACTATACTCGGCCTTAGCCAAATTGTTAATACTATTCAAAAACGCTGTTTTTATGGTTAATTAATTTAATATTTTCGTATTTCAATACCTCCTCCTAGTGCTACGCCTACGCTAAATTTATCGCAAACTTTGCCATTTATATTAATTAGTTTATTATAAACGGTATAGCCCCTAGAAATTACGAAACGGCCCTGGGTTATAGAAGAAAGCCGCCCCCTTCCCAAAATTGCGTTCCCCGAACTTACCGCCGCTACTGAACGCTTTACCACCGCTGCTATTACTTGCGCGGAGGTTACCCGGAGTATAAGTTCCATCCTTTAAACCGAAATATCCTACTTTACAATTATTTCCGCCGATTATAATACCGTTGCCCGCGAATTCGCCACTCGTATTATTACAACTATTATTACTAATCCCGAAACTGGTAGAAAAATTTCTTCGATTTTATTACTTACCCCTCTTATTACCCTACTTATTTTCGTTATTACCCTACTTACCTTCTAAACCGATTAATTTACCCTGTATATTAATCTATTTACTAATCGATTTACTATTATTTCCCGTATTTATATTAATTACTCAACTATACCTGCCTTATTCTAAATTTAATAACCCTGGATTTATAATTCTTTAATTTTCACCCTCTTTAAATATAATTCTTGCGTTTTTATTTGTATCCCCTACGACGACCTTAATCCCTTTTAGAATTCTTTTAAATTTTTTATCGGAAAGAAAATGTAAAATAAATTAAATTCAAATTAAATAATATTATTAAATATTATAAAGTTAAATCTAATTTTACCTTCGTCTTTAAAAATAATAAAATACGAAATAAATTCCTAATTGCTAAAGTTAAAATTTCTTACTTATTCGGTATTAAAAAGGTTGAACCTTCTATTAAATAGATTTAATATATAGTCCCCTGGGTCCTTATAAATATATTTTTTTAATTAAACCCCTAATTTCATTACCGAAGC